CCAGAGAGAGTGGGGAGCAGAAACAGGCCGACTGTCAAAGTGCACTGCTGAGGGGAGTAGCGGGCAGGCCAGGAGAGAGGTCTGCTGTGCCATGTGGTCACCTCCGGGGCAGGCAGGGACCGAACCCATGCAGAAGCGGCTCCAGAGTCCTAGTGCAGTGCTTTAAGCCCCTGTGCCACCAGGGAGGGCCTGATAAGGACTTTTTAAGCCAGTCAGTTATGATAAACTGAGGGAGGTAATTCAGGAGTCCTGTGAAAATCCTGTGTTATTCCAGGCTAGACTTGCTGAGACCATGAGAAAACACACCAATTTGGACCAGAGACTGTAGAAGTTCAAGTCACCTTCGCACGTCATTACTCAGTCTTGTCCTAACATCAGGTTCAAGCTCCAGAGGCTGGCTCGAAGACCTCAAACCCCCTTCCCAACATTTTTAGGCATGACCTTCAAAGTCTTTCATAACAGGGAGGAGACCAATAAGGGTGAACAGAAAAGGTGGGAGAGGGAGAAAGACAAGAGAAGAACCCACTGTATAATGGCTGCCATTGCCAGTGCCCTTTTACCTGGGCTCACCAGACACCCCAGGTATCCCAAGGTATTTGGGACCTCCAGCTCCTATAGGGCCCCCAGTCTGGGACAGGTCTGCTGCGAGTATCCAAAGAAGCCCACAGAGCCATGCCCTCTGTGTAGTCACATAGGAAACAGAACAGGGACTGTTCTACTTTCCAGAGAGGAAAGGGGCCAGCCCAAGCCACAGGCCAGATGGCAAGGCATGATGGCCATCAGTTGCCTCGCGTATGGTTACTGACTACGAGGAACTCAGAGCAGGAGTGACAGGGGGCTAGGGAGGAAGTGAGGGCACCATATTTAATGTAGGAATTTGCATCTGCACACCTAGTATGCATACCTAATAAATGACCAGTGATCTGTTTTCTTTCACCTAAAATTCTTGCGTTGAGAGATTTCTGTTTAATGATGCCTGAATAAGTGACAGACCTTGATGCCATCAGAAATTAATGAGGATCGGTAGGCCAGCATATACTGAGGTCACAAACTGGAGGCTGATAACAAGCTCTGGGTGCTGATTGTGACAAATACCAAGAACATCAACTATGACCAGCTGTTCTGATAAACCGATTCAGCTGTGACAGGCTATTTTGATGAACTAATTCACTTTTGACTAATCTATAGATAGAGAGTTGACCTTAAGAAAAAAGTTGCAAAGATCTAAGAACCAAAAGTAAGTACACAAACTGAGGTGGGACACCATTTTAAGAAAGGATTTAATGTGCTGGGTTAATAAAGCAGATACATTGGAAACAATTTGTATCAAAATGACCCCTTAAAATATGAATTGTGA